TACCTCGACTTGAGACCAACTCGAGTTGCAACCAGAGTCACGGAACGGATTAAGTTCGTAACTAGAGGTACCACTGTAGTTACAACACTAAAACAACACCTAAAAGCAGACTCACATTCAATAAAAGCAATAAAGCCCTAAAGATGTGCCAGTTAAAATGTATATCTATCAACAGTAAGCAAAATAAAATAGCAAGACAAAGTAGATAAAATAATTATAAGTTTAAAATAAAAGAATAAAAACTTCCTCATTATATTGTTCCAAAATTAAGATGTCTTAAGCCTTCTTATGGCAATAGCTGCTGAGAAGAACTTGGCAACTCTGTTTGTGATAATGGGGTTCCAGTCCAAGAGTAGGAACTCAACCATCTCTCCCTCATTAGGACCTTTATCTCTACAAGGAGGAGATTCAGGTATATGTGCATGTAAGTTCTCATAAAAGAAACAATGCAGGAATACGTGCACTAAGGTCTCAGGTTCGTTCTGGCCACAGGGGCAATTTCTCTCATGAAACTGGATTTTATGAAACCTCCCATCGAATACTCTTGAGGGTAGAACATTAAAACAGGCCAGAAAAAAGACTCTACAGCGGGCTGAACAAACCAGATTGAACAGATAGTTTGCAGTTCTAAAAGGTTTCCAAGGAGGTTTCCAATATGATAGCCAGGCATGGCTATGCTGGGCCTTTGGGAGGAGCGAGAAACATCATATTCTAAAACACAAGCAGGACCAGGACAAAGAATTGGATGAAGTCAGGGCCAAAACAAATTTGAATTCATTCTCCATACATGTTAATGTAATTACAATTAATTCATTAAATTACAGTTAGCGTGATTTCTCCCCATGTATTTATTGCCTGTAGCGCTCAAGTGTGATGTGCAATATTGAAAACTCTGATGAATCTCAGCTTTCACTTCCTCTAGGTCTAGAGATTAAAGAGAGTGGATGGAAAGGCCACAGTAACCCAGGACAGCTGTGATTTTTTGTTTCCATCGTGATGCAAAGTTATAAGAAGAATCAGTGGGGTCAGTGGGCCATCAGAGAATAAAAGTTTTGGCCAATAAGAGAGACAGCACACAAACTCTCGCCTTTACTGGAATCATTCCTGTTTCCATATGAATTAAAATATTTGGGACATGGCATGGGACCTGTTCACAGAAACTTAGACCGAACTATATCCAAGGGCTTTAGATCTTTGTAGGTGCATATCTTGGTTATACTAGTGATTTGGGTTGATGTTGCTTGGCCACTGTGTATTTTAACTTTTGTAATGTTTATAATTGTTTTTATTTTATTTTAACTCTGTTCGCTACCCGGAACTGCTTGCTGAGATAGGCAACCTTATATATTGGATAAATAAATAAATATATGCCATACAGCATTTGGGATATAGATTTAGCTTTAAACAGCTTAATGGCAGCAGGCATGCATCTACCTTCCTTTGAGTGAAAAAAGCCCAGGATTGCCTTGGCACCCTTGTTGGCCTTGGCAGAGATCACTCTGGATTGTTCCTGCCAATTTCCAGAGGCTTGAAAGATTACTCCAAGATATTTAAAAGCTGGAACTTGTTCTATTTCGTTACTTCCTATTTGCCATTGATGTTTACGGCAACTAGGTCTTCCTGAAAAAAACATAATTGTAGTCTTGGAGGAATTAAATGTAAGCCCTTCTCTCTTACAGAATTCTGCTAAGGCCTGCAAACTTCTAAAGCTCACCTGCCTAAGCGAGAGGTTTGCTGCCTCGTCAGCATATAGCAGAATTGCCAACTGTCTGTCCCTGACCTTAGGGGGATTAAATTCTTTTTTGGTGAGAACAGCAACCATTGATATTTATATATTAATATTTATAAATATTAAACAGTAGGGGAGCCAACATACACCCCTGTTTCTCTCCTCAACAGATTGAAATGTCTGTGGTAAGATGGCCTGCTTTATTACATCTGGCTTGGGTGACTGTGTTTTCATGCAGCATTTCTTCCAGAAGTGGGGGCATATTTTTATCAATCAGCAGCATCACAGCCCTTGTAACTCTAGAAATGCCAAGAGTAAGAACAAGGTGCTGCCTATTGTTTGTATCGACAGAAAGCAACAACTTACTGCTCTCAAGCATTGTTAGTAAAATCTATTTTGTATCCCATTTGCAAAGAGGTGAAGGGTTTCCAAAATCTGTATAACAGATCTGTTCTCTCATTTTGTAAGTATCACTTTCTAATTGTTGCCTGAATAATAATTCCCTTATCACATTTCTATTTAAATCTGTTGTGTGGACACTAAAATTAGTTACATTCTGAGAATATTACCCATCTTTTTAGTAATGCAAACATCTCTAGCCATAGAGAATGTTCTGCTGCTCTCCAGGACTGAGTCATCTTTTCCATACTGTGTCATTTTTGCAAGACATATTTGGGTGTGTGACTGGATGTTGGGAGTTGTAACTTCCTAGCTCCCTAACTGGAATAGTGGAAAGTTTCAGTCCCACCCTGTCACCTTTAGTGAGAATAATCACAGTATGCAGGTATGGGGAACCTGCAGCCCTCTAGTTATTACTGAATTACAATTACAGTGTCCAGCGATAGCCATAATGGCCAATGATGGGTAATGCTGGGAGCTGTAAAATTACATGTGGGAAAGGACTGTATTTAAGTATACATTTTATTATTTATTAGCAATGTAACTATGCTACACAGAAATACTGTTTTGTTGTATTCACCCGTTGCACTAAGCCATAATGCAATTTTAGTTTAAATAATACGGATCATGGGGTGTTGGGTTTTATGGGGATCTAGCTTTTAATGTTGGTTTTACTTTTGGTTGATGGCTGAGGTGTATTTTACAATGGTATGACAATATGTTATTTGCACTGAATATTTTTGGGTTACAGGTATTCGGTTAACAACGGTAATTGGGACCAGGAACTCCATCACTGAGCAACGTGGTTGTAAAGCACAATGTCACGTGACCATGCCAACTTACAATGGCAGTTCCAGTTGTGGTCATTAGGTGAATCCTGCATGGTCTTTAGGCACAATGTCACATGATCACCATTTGCAACCTCCTGCCAGCTTCCCCATTGACTTTGCTTGTCGGAAGCTGGCTGTGAAGGTCACAAATGGTGATCACGTGACTGACACTGTGACTATTGTAATTGTGAGCCAGTTGCCAAGGGTCCGAATCGCTATCACATGACCACAGGGACGCTGCAACGGCTGCAACTATGAGGATTCAGCATAACTCTCCTTGTTCAGTGCCATCATACCTTGAACAGTCGCTGAATGAATGGTTGTTAACCAAGGACTACCTATATTGTCCTTTAGTGTTATTATGATGCTGTGAGAGGTGCTTTGAGCCTTAGATGGAGGTGGCATCCAAATGACTGTAGATAAATCTTCTCTGTTGTGCTTCCTCTGTCATGGCCCCTCCCCTCTGGAACAGTATCCCCCCAGAAATATGGATGGCACCCTCTCTCCTGGGGTTCTGAAAACCCCTTAATACCTGGCAGTAACACAGGTTACTGTGTTTGGGGGGAGGGCTCTGTCATGCTTTCTTTTAATGGTTGTTTTTAGTCTGGGTTGTTTTGTTTTGTCTGTGTTTTTAATTGTTTTAATTTTGTAAGCTGTCCAGAGGTTTTTTTGGTGCCTTCGAGTCAGTTTTTTGACTCCTGGTGACTGCCTGGACAAGTTCCTGCAGTTTTCCTGGCAAGATTTCAGAAGTGGTTTGCCATTGCCTCCTTCCTAGGGCTGAGAGAGAGTTGACTGGCCCGAAGTCACCCAGCCGGGTTTCATGCTTAAGGCAGGACTAAAATTCACGGTCTCCCCGTTTCTAGCCTGGTGCCTTAACCACTACATCAAACTGGCTCTCCCACTGGAGTGGGCGGCTTTAATAAATGTAGTGAAATAAAAATAAACAAATATGTATAAGTGTTATTAACACATATGTTATTGTTATAGCAATACAATCCACAGCCAATACAAATTATGTAATTTGTGTCATTTGTACAATGATGTCATGACAAATTTAATATCACCTTCCTGCCTCCCCACTCACTGCGCCTATGTAAATGTGTCAACTGAGCTGTTATGGCTTATAAATCATACTTTATTGCCTAACTTTGTGTATGAGCCAGGCCTTATTTGTTCAACAGATCATGGGAAAACCCTGCCATGATTTAGCAGTGAGTGAAACCAGCCCCCTATTTACACTGGAGGAGATGCTGCCAAAACACTTTTTCCATAGGAATTTGAAGATAAGATATTGATGAAAGAGTTAAGAATGTTCTTGCAAAATAAGTTAGCAGATGTGTCTGTTAGTTACTTCCAAATGTTTCTTTTCAGTCTTGACTGCATAACAACTATCGCCAACATGGCATCACCAACTAGCATTGCCAGGTTGTGAAAGGCTGAATGTTATATACACCATTATCTTCACAGATCCATGGACATGAGGCATGATCGATTGTCTGTCTTGTGGAAACTGTCTCTTAACATAAAACGTCTGCAGCTGCCCAAATATGAGTTTGGAAAGCACAGCCTCTTCTTATCATCATAATGGAAGAGCAGCTAGTTGGTAAGACAAAGATTGCCCAGAAAGCTACAGCGGGAGGAGATTCGCTGTCCTTCGTAAACTTACTGAAAGTCCACAGAGAATTGCTAGTCGATCGAGTCCGCAACACCCAGTGTTTGATTGACAACTTGATTAAGAATGACTATTTCTCCAAGGAAGATGCAGAGATTGCTGCACAGTATTCAACGCAAGCAGACAAGGTATTAACTTTTATTTCAGTCTTTGGATTAAGGGTAGTTTAATAATAAACCAGAGGTGGTTTAATAAGCAAACCATATAAACCCTGCACTATATAAACCCTGTCTTTACCCATAAACTTTGCAGAAGTAAAGCAATCTCACTTGAACAATCCTGGTGTGAGTACCTTTAATGCAGCTTTGAATTTAACATCTCATCTAGTCATCAAAGGAGGCCACCAGGTTCATATAGGCAAGTGAGTAGACTGTCTGGAAGAATTTTCCATTTGTCCTCCACCAGATTGTCTGGGTTTAGTGCTGGCCACACATAAAAGAAATTCCACCAATCCTTTATCTTTTTTCTTCTCCATCAACATGTTTGATAGAAGGCATTTCCTTAGCTTGACAGGCTAACAATATATATTTCTATATGCTGCTGGTTAATTATCTTATTTAAAAGACCAGTAGATTGCCATTGTTCATATAGAGGAGATCCAAAGCAGAGATTCCTTCTTATAATCATGACTCCTTTTGGAAACATTTTGATAGACAAAAAGACAATGTAAGTGTTCATTGCATCATCACATGCATGAATAACTTTTTCCCTTCAGTCAACATCCCAATAAAAAATCTGGATGGAAAGAGAATATCTCTAGATATTCAAACAATGAGAGAGAAGACTTGTACTTCTGGATACAAGTGTCCTTTTAAATGCCTTTCTCTAGCCTTAGGAATTAATTCCTTCAGAATCTGATGATTCTTGAGCTGTTTTTCTAGTTAATAATTATTAGTTTTCAGAAGGTTCTGGCTGATCTGCTTGATGAACCAGTTAAGCAGCATTTGAAGCTTCAAAACTTTTGCTGGTGTCTATCAGGAAACTGATACACAGGAATTCTTCAGGTTATGGATTCTCCTGGCTTCAGAATACTTCTATTGTTTTTGTGAAAATGCACGTATACTGCCAATGTTGGCCAGCCTGCTAGTGGCCTTTTTCTTACTTGATGGTAGATTAGTTGTATCCTATTAATGTGCAGAAAAAAACCCATGTCTGCTTATTTTACATAGCCCCTTTGTCATGTTATTTGCTTAAGAACATAAAGTATATAGAAAGAAACAGGGACTGTGCTGGTTGCCACCTTCTCCCCTTCCTGAATTCTGCACTTGTGCAAGCATCTGAAATGGGGAACTCTTCAAATGTAAAATGGAAGCTTCCTCTGATTCTAGAAACTGTTTCAATCATATTTTAGATCCCAGGGAAGCTTCTATAGGTAATGGTGGACACGCAAAGACTTTCATGTCCCATTATAAATACACTTGTGTACATGTTTGTGTGTGCATGTGTAATGAAGTAGCATTCCTCCAGACACTGGGGTACACCACATGCATTTCCTAGGTCACATATCTCCCCTGTCCCCATGCCTTAGTTACAACTTCTGGAGTTCTCCAAAAGTTGTTGCTAGATTGTAATGGGATGTTAGGAGTATGTTAAATACATGGGGAGCAATCACGCTAATTGTAATTTAATTAATTTAAATTTGTTTTGGCCCTGTCCTCATCCAGTTCTGTGTCCCAGTGCTGACTGCTTTATCGAATATGATGTTTCGTGCTCCTACCAAAGGCCTAGCATGGCCGTGCCTGGCTAAGACTATCATATTGCAGGAGAGTGCACATGGAAATAAATGTTTTTTATTATTGCAATTATTGGGACATAATCTTAAAATGATCAGAAAGTAGAGCTAAAATAAATAAATCAATGGAATATAAGCAGGCTACTTATCTCCTGGACTGCAGCACCAGTGGGTACAAAATGCAGGTCTGCCAAAACTGTGGTATGGGCAGTTTTGCTTCTCGAGCATGAGCTCATTGGGGAAGCAAAGCAGGCAAAGAATATAGATTTTGACTAAATCAGTTACAGTACATTTTTCTTGAAATTTCATTCTCCTGCTAGCCTGCCTTGCAGGTTGTTACCAAAGTGCCTTTGGAGAAAATCCACTCAGGCTGGCTTCTTATATCGGTATCTACCATAAGTTGCTTTCTTCCAGGAGATTTACTTCAAGAAAATAAGCTAAAGATTCCTGCCCCCCCCCCCCCAATATTTTAGAACTGACATTAACTACAGAGGAATATAATGGCCTAGTATGACAAAGTTATAACTCTGTTGACTTCTCTGAAACTAGCTCAGTCTTCCCCAGGTGAGTTTGAATTCCAGTTGTCATCATCTTGGCCATGCTGGGATAATGGAAATGATAGTAATTTGCATCTGGAGTAAGACATCTTAAGGCAGGCTGAACTAGGGAAAAGAACTGCAGAGAGAAATTAGGAAATAGGAAAATGAGCAAACTTCTCCCTTGTCATCTTATTCTTATATTTGTAAAGTTGCCCAGTTACCAATACAGGTTTAGCTCTAGTTAAGCCCTTTCCAACTTGAGACCTTCTTGTTATGTTGGAATTGCAGTTCCCAAAGGTTCAGATCACCATGGCCAACAGAATTAAGAATTCTGGGAGTTGCCCTTTCAACATGTCTGCAGGGGACTGGTTTCAAGAAAGGTTATTCTAGGCAACAATCGTTTTAAGGGAGAAATAGTGTTATAGCCATTGTAGCACCAAGTGATTGTACAATGTATGATGGTGGTCCAGTGAATATTCACATATAGTCGCAATATGCTATGATACTTTGTGTGATCTCTCCTTAAGGTTCGTAAAATTCTGGATCTAGCCCAGAGTAAAGGTGAGGAAGTTGCAGAATATTGCCTATATGTCCTGCAGCAAGTTGCTGATGCTTACTATGACTTACATCCCTGGCTGGAAGAGATTGGCTTTCACCCATCAGAAGTCATTTGTAACAAAGCTGTGGAAAATACCGACCCGGGTAAGACATCCAGTTATGAAAGTCTACTCTTTTTCTTTTAATTTTTAAAATTAGTTTTGCAATATGGAAAAGCAAAGCTAGATGACATGATGATGATGATGATGATGATGATGATGATAACACAAAATAGAAAAGTAGCCCAAGATAAAACTAAGAGCAAGTTAAAAAGGGGGAATATAAGATGAATGCATATGTAGTCTTAAGGAGTTTTGGAAGAAAATGTGGAATCTTCTGAATATATGCAATCCAAAGTAAAAATATATTCTGCTAGGTGACATGATTGGACAGGAAAAGAGAGAGTGATTGGACCATTTGGAGATCCAAGAATTAAAATGTTAATAGGATCTGTTTGGTGAGTATCTGCCTAAAAAAGTCTTTCAGATATATAACTTAAGAAAAAGTCTGTTTAATATATCTGAAACACCTCTCTCTCTCTCTCTCTCCCCC